TGACCCTAAGGGAATTTTGGAGAGAACACTTCAGCATCCTCCACTGCATAACCCTTATAGGTATGGCTTGGGAGGGAGTGACTACCAGGACTTTGAACTCTGCCTGGAGAAAATTGTGGCCAATTGTGTCGACAAGAGGGATTTTGAAGAATTTGGACTGACCCTAATGAGCCTATGTCTGTTGTAAAAATCAATTGTGGCACTGGGGAGTTCCATGGGTTGGATGTGAGTTTGGAGGATGTGGAAGAATTGGTGGAAGACCACAATGAAGAGCTCACCACTGAGGAGCTGCAAGAGCTTCAGCAGGAAGAGCAACACATCGCAGCTCAGAATCTTGCTGCAGAGGAGGAGGAAGAGAGATGGAAGAAGGTGCCTTCTTCAGAAATTAAAGAGATTTTTACTATGTGGGGTAAGATGGAAAGCTTTATGGAGAAACATCACCCTAACAAGGTTCTTGCAAGCCAGGTTGGCAACATGTACAGTGACAAAGTCTTGGGCCATTTTAGGGAAGTGTTAAAGAGATGCCAGAAACAGAGCTCTCTAAACAGTTATTTTGTGAGACAGGACTCCAGTGACTCTCAAGTTGGTCCTAGTGGCATTAAGAAACAGAGAAGAGAAGCAACCCCAGAAAAGCAAATGGTACCCAAGGTGTTGATGGAAGGGGATTCCCCTTCCAAACTATAAACAATCCACTCTCTCTCTCTCCTCCAGTCTCCCATACTCTAAGAAGAATCTCCAATAAAGATAAGTGTTATGCTGTTAATGTTTCATTCATCATTTCCCATTGTATTGTTTATGTACTACATGCATATTTCATGTTAAAAAAAATTTTTTGTTTTAATACTTCTGGGTGTCAGGAACGGATTAATTGTATTTACATTATTTCTTATGTGGAAAATTGATTCGTAAATCGTAAATTTCGTTTATAGTAACGGCTCCATGAACGGATTAATTACGAACAACAAGGGACCACTGTATATGTATGTATGTATGTGTGTGTGTGTGTGTATATATATATAATATATATATTTCTTCTTTTCTTACTTTCAACATACCAGCCGTATCCCACCAAGGCGGGGTGGCCCAAAAGAAAAAACTAAAGTTTCTCTTTTTAAATTTAGTAATATATACAGGAGAAGGGGTTACTAGCCCCTTGCTCCCGGCATTTTAGTCGCCTCTTACAACACGCATGGCTTACGGAGGAAGAATTCTGTTCCACTTCCCCATGTTGAAAAAAAAAAAAAAAAAATATATATATATATATATATATATATATAATATATATGTGGTGAGTGTGGTGAAAGTGTTGAATGATGAAAGTATTTTCTTTTTGGGGATTTTCTTCTTTTTTGGTCACCCTGCCTCGGTGGGAGACGACCAACTTGTTGAAAAAAAAAAAAAAATGTATATATATATATGCGCGCAAAACAACCACTGTGAAAGAATAGAGAAATTCCAAGCATTTTTCGGCTACTCACATTTCAAGGAACAAAAAGTAAAGGTATCCAAGAAGGGTATAAAGGGGTCGGCCAAACACCCACATCAGACCCCACAACAGTTAAATCCCTGATCGGCCGGGCCCAACGGACAGGCCCCTTTGCAAAACCCCCCCAAAAAACATTCTCCCCAAGAAAATTTTGAATATTATTTTCCATTTAAAATAAATTCTTCCCAAATTCTACTAATTATAAGGGATCAAAATTTATAAAAACCAAAAGGAAAATTTTCATATTAGTCAAAACGGCTTTTTAGAAACAAATTCATTACGTATATCCTGTCGACCAGGGATTTTGCTTGATACTACTATTCAATTTTTTGAAAATCAATTGGATGGTTAAAAATCCTTACATGATAAATAGAGCATTGGAATCTTGTCCATTCTAATGCAAAAATTTTACGTTTTTTTTAATCATGTTCGAGATTTTACCATTTTAACCGTAATAAACTTCTTTTCGAAAATTTTTTTACAAGGAACTTATAGACACACCATCACATTTGGGGGGGAATTCTTTGTATTCAAAAATCTTGATACATAAAAAATTTTTTGATAAAAAATTTTCCCCCCAAAATCCCTGGATGTGTCAAAAAATTCCTTGTAAAATTTGCGATGAAGTTTTTTACGTCAAACGGTAAAAATCTCGAACTATGTTTAAAACAACTAAATATACATAGAAGGACAAGTTTCCAATCTCTATTTATTCAGTAAAATTTTTAACCCACCCAAATTTGTTTTTTCAAAAAGTTAAAAAAGTATATAACAAGTCAGGGTCGACGGGAAAAAATTGAATCGTTTCTAAAAAGATTTTTTGACAATAAAGAATATTTCCTTTGGTTTATATAAATTAATCCTTTAAATTAAAAGAATTTTGGAAAAATTAATAATCACTGGACAAAAAATAATTTTTTAAAATTTTTTTGGGGTAAATAGTTTTTTGGTGGGTTGGAAGACCTGCCATTTTTGGGCTGGCGCGCTTCGGGGTTTTTAATGTTTGGGATCTATAAGGGTGTTGGCCAGCCCCCTTTTTAAATACCTTACTTGGAGCTTTTTTTCAATTCCTTGAAATGTGATCACGAAAGCACTTGGAAATTTCCCCCTTATTCTTTCACAGTGGGTTTTTTTGCATATTTTGAAATCACTGTTTTCTGTGACTTATTTCATAAATATATATGAAAAATATAAATAATTTTTAAATTATTTTTTTTTTCCAACCTCCCGGTCTGGATCCACAGAAATATTTTGTAGAAAAAAATTTTTCCCGGGTACAACCATACACTGAGTTCATACCTGTGCTTTTGGGCCCAGTGGATGAGACTTTTACTGCTTAAAAATTGCTTCATAAATAACCCAAAATAAAGAGAGAGAAGGGGAATACCACAATTTTTTTAGTCCACTTTGGACCATTTACAAACTACCCTGACTTTTTAAATTCCAAGTCTGACCAAAACGTCGTTGTTATCCTCTCTCCTATGTGCGGGGTTTTTGTGATTTTCCAGTCCCCGTATTGTGCCTTGTTGTTCTTTATATTTACACTTGATTTACTCCCAGGAAAAGAAAAAGCAGTTACTGATATCAATTTTAAATTTCTGGGGAAAATCGAATTTAAAGATTTATGCATTGGACCAAAAAATCAGGTTAGGTTCCTGAAAATTTGGGCTACTTGGATAAAAAAAATATGATGCAAAAATAGATGGGAAAAAAAAATGTTCTTGACACCTCCCAGAAAAGTGTCTTGGTGTCATAAAAGATACAGAGAGCAAAAATATTAGCAGATAAAAACTATGTAATTCAGAAAGTTAAAGAGGGGGACTGTGCTGTTTCAAAAAAAGTTACCAACATTTTCTTGCCCCAAAAAGGAAAGGAACAGCAAACAAAAGTACATCTTGAAGCTGAAAAGATAATATATTGCAATTTTTCTTACTGTACTTTAAATTTTGGTTGCTAATGCACATTAACATCATTGGAGAGGGTTGCTGTGGCTTTACTAGGCCTAGCTGAATGACTGCAACTAGTGGGCCTAGCTGGATGGGTGCAGCTGGTAGGCCTAGGTGGATAGGTGCAGCTGGTAGGCCTAGTAGTTCAGGTAGGACTGAAACATCATCATTACTTTCCCTCTGCTAAGTGCTGGTTGTCTGTATATTGTTCCAGCTTCAATATTGTGACTTTTTATTCTTCATAGACTTGCACTTTAAATCATCTGATGCATTAGCACACAAAGGCAAGATAAAATGATCCTTCACTTCCTTAAATCCAGATAGCTTCCTCTTACTTGCAGATATAATCTAGACAGCAAATGCTGCCTAAATACCACATCTCTCTCGTCAACATGAAATACTTGCTCAGGCTTGTAGCCCCACATCAAAATGGTTGTTTTGTTTGAAACTTAGTATTTTACACACAACTTAACAAGCAAGTTATGGAAAATGCAAGTTATGGCTGCACAAAGAAGAGGAGTCTACTGTATTTTTTATTTGGTTACTGTATAGCTAAGAATATCTTCAGAATGGCTGTCTTTAAAGAAATTCTTTTTCTGAACAAGTCATTTATCTAAATTAAAACCATTAATCTTGTTTTGCATTTTTCATTTAAATATTTTTTACAATTTTCAGTGCAATAGTTTTTTATTTGTTTAGTTTTAGTACAACACAGCACTGGCATTTCATGAGAAGCACAATTGTTAGCTCTTCTGAAATCCAAGTAAATTCAGTATGGTCCTCTGTTTCCTTGATGACTCTTAGCATGTTACTTGATAGGAAGATTTTTCCCCTTAGTCAGAATTTGCCATAATTTGTAGCTAATAACTTAAAAGATATTACAGGTATAGTTTAAACCAATTAATTTACAAAATATTATTACATAATTGGTAAGAGACACTATACAAAGCAACATCTTATAAAGGCAGTATTCTTTATTGGTTCCAGTTTTTATCTTCTCTTCTCCCTGACTTTCATGAATCCTTCATTTTTGACTGTCATTTTTAAGGGAACACATCTTGTAGTCTTAAGTTAGGCCTGAGCTTGCCTGAAATGCTCTGAATAACCATGGGCTTTCAACTTCCACTCCAGTATCATCCATTTCTGTATAAACATTGTATCACGTTGAAATAAACTTGTATTTGTATATGCTCAGTATTCAGACTCTCACAACTGAATAATTATAATAATAATTTGATTTCAGCATGATATAATGTTTGTACAGAGATGGGTGACATTTACTTGTGCATGCAGAAACCCCATAGTTATGCAGAACATATCATAAGATTAACTTAAGGTTCCTGGGACTGATTCCTAGGCAAGTCTTCCTACACTTGCTGCTCTTGTTCACCTAGCATTATATAGTTATCTATTATGGGAATCACCCTGGGAAATGATATACCATAGCCAGAGTCAAACTTAGAAATGAACCAAGGTCAGACAACAACTCGTAATCTTTAGAAATAAGAGATTGATTGAGACAGTAGGTGCCAATATTGGTTAATATATTTTAAAATATTTACCCACAGGATGTTTCCAAGGGTCACTGAGTGTTCAACTTAGCGGACAGTTCTGGGATGTTATAAAAGAATTATCACCTCTCTCCCATCTTCGGCCTCAAGAAGGAGCTGTAACAATGGATATCGCTAAGATCTTAGTTGATTGTGACTTTGCATCATGGAATGCAAACTTGACTGAGGAAAGGTTGAAGGGAGAGGAGAGGGAAAAAGACTCAACAATACGGACTACAGAGAAAAACTGTAGGTTTTTTGTTATCCTATCTAAATCCCAAAACCATTATACATGTAATGCATTTCTAGCAGTAACCCACTCTACTAATCACTTCCTTATGTAACTGGCCTTTTTTTTGTTTTTGTCATCCATTTCTAACCACAACATAATACTACTACTACTTCCTGGTAAAAGTAGGTCTTAGACAGGGATGTGTAATGTCACCATGATTGTTTAACCCCTTCAGGGTCCAAGGCCAAAATCTGAAGTGGTGCCCCAGTGTCCAAGAATTTTCCAAAAAAAAGTTTATTTTTTCTTATGAAATGGTAGAGAATCCTTTTGTGAAGGTAATAAAACAAAAAGTACGAAATTTGATGGAAAATTGACGAAATTATGCTCTCGCGAATTTTGATGTGTCAGCGATATTTATGAATCGGCGATTTTGCCGACTTTGACTCCCATTTTAGGCCAATTACATCATTCCAGTCGACCAAATTCTTAGCTATTTCACTAGTATTACTTCTATTCTATCGATTGAGCACAAGAAATCGCTAATGTTATATTATCTTTATTTACTTGGTTTCAGGCTTGGTGTCATCTGAAGGAGGAGGAAGACAGGATAATTTCATAAAGAAAACCTCCGCTTACAAAGTAAGTTGAAGCATTAAACAGTTGTTTTATCAGATATATTTCAGATTAAGATGACACGAGTTGTAAACCACTATGTGAGTTTCAGGACTCGCCATGGATTCAAACCCCCACCCATTGCCTTATTTTTTGTCTACCCTTTTGTTATGCCCACTGTTTATCATAAGGCTGTGCTTTCCATGTACTGTATTCAGCTGCTAATGCAAATACTATATGTATATTATTGATTTAGTGTCACTTTTGGTTTTGCTTATTAAAGAGTTCTTGTAACGAATATTTCCATTTGTTTTAGCTGCATGGGAAGAATGGCAGCTCCCAGTCTCCATGTGATGCAGTGTTTCTTCCTGAGCATACTATAGCCAGCGATAAAGCTGACTTTATAGAGGATGGAAAGAAGCCTCAGTCTGCTGGCCGAGGCTTGATGATGCTATTAAACACGAGTTTAAAGGAATCCTTGTCTCGGGTTTCCTCAGTTGGTTGTAGCAGTCTCCTAAATGGCAGCTTTGTTGCAAGGTGTGTGGAAATGCCCACTTATCTTGGCCATGTTTAAATGATTCCTCATAAGCTCTGCCTTTGTGTATTTGTCACATACCTCTACCAAAATAATTACATATAACTTTAATGCATTAATGAGGATTCTTTGTTTATTATGTACAGATTTAAAAAAATAGTTTTTTTTATGATAGAAAGTAAACACGTTCACAGAGAGATGGTTCTGATAGCTGTGCAAACCATCCTAGACCATCACCTCCCTCAGTGGGAAACAGCGAACGTGTTAAAAAAATATATATACGTACATATATATGTGTATAATATATATATATATATATATAATATATATAAAAATATATTTTATATATATATATATATATATAATATAATAATATATAATATACATAACAGTGGACCCCCGCATAACGATTACCTCCGAATGCGACCAATTATGTAAGTGTATTTATGTAAGTGCGTTTGTACGTGTATGTTTGGGGGTCTGAAATGGACTAATCTACTTCACAATATTCCTTATGGGAATAAATTCGGTCAGTACTGGCACCTGAACATACTTATGGAGTGAAAAAATATCGTTAACCGGGGATCCACTGTATATACACAGTCTCTCCTCACTTAGCAACATACGTGTACTTATTTACAGATGACTCAGACTTACGACAGGCTCTCTGACCAGTATACGTACATAAATAATGTATATTAGAGCTGATTTCCTCTATTCTGTTTATTACAATATACAGTAAACTGCTGTATAAAGATTTAAAAATATACCAGAAATGTTATAAATGGTGCAAAGGCGACATTAAAACAATATAAAAGGTGGTTGACACAAACCCACTACCATTATAATATGCCCCTCACTGAGCGACGAATTCGTTTACCGAGATGGTCCTAGGAACAGAATTCTGTCGTTAACCCTTTCAGGGTTTCGGATGTACTAGTACGGCTTACGCACCAGAGTTTTTGACGTACTAGTACGCCTAAATTCTAGCACCCTCAAATCTAGTGAGAGAAAGCTGGTAGGCCTACATATGAAAGAATGGGTCTGTGGTCAGTGTGCATAGTATAAAAAAAATCCTGCAGCACACAGTGCGTAATGAGAAAAAAAAAACTTTGACTGTGTTTTTGGATTAAAACAGCGACTTTGTACTGTATTTTCGTATGGTATTTATTGTTGTATTCTATTTTTCCTGGTCTCATTTTATAGAATGGAAGACATTACAGAAATTGAGATGATTTTGACTGGTTTTACAATGAAAAGTACCTTGAAATTGAGCTCAAAGTAGCAAAAATGTTCAATATTTACCACAGTTCAAAAGTAAACAAATCATGCTAAGCGTCCAATACACGTCAACTGGGGAGTCTAATATTCTTTCACAAGTGCGCTGATATTATTTATACCATTTCTACACTAATGCAGTAGTCTGCATAACAGTAAATCTTCTATTATTTGTGAAAATAAAAATTCAAAGTGGAAAGCTAAAGAATGTAAGAGGGGCGTGGGGACGTGACTAATGAACAGAGGAAATGTTATTTTAGTGCCAGGAATGTCTTTCTTGTTTATTCTGGACCCTATTTGGAAATTGGCATCTTTTGAAATTTGTGTGAAATTGGCAGAATTGCTAAATTCTGACCACTGTATTGGATAGTTGAAATTGGTAAATGGGTGGTTTCTTGTACTCATTCGATAGAAAAAATGGAGTTCTAGCAAAATAATTATGATTTTTGTTGACTAGTACACTGGAATTGGCCGAAAATAGGGCTCAAAGTGGGCATAATTGCTGATGCATGAACATTGCCGAGACCGCTAACTTCGCGAGAGCACAATTCCATAAGTTTTCCATTAAATTTCATACTTTTGGTGTCATTACGATTGGGAAAAGATTCTCTTATCTTTTCATAATTTTTTTTTTTTTTTAAATTTGGGCGACCCTGAGAACAAGTCTGGGACAGGGCCTTGGGACCCTGAAAGGGTTAAATGAGGAGAGGCTGTATGTATGTGTGTGTGGATGTGAAAAGTGGATTATAGTAGAGTATATGCACCTGGGAAGAGAGAGAGAAGTGTAGAGGAGAGAGCGAGATTTTGGGAAATGTTGAGTGAATGCGTGGGGAGTTTTGAACCAAGTGTGAGAGTACTGGTGGTTGGGGATTTCAATGCTAAAGTGGGTAAAAATGTTGTGAGTGCCAGGGGTAAATGAAAAAAGGGAAAGCCTTTAAAACCCCTTTTAGGTCCAAGGCCCAATCTGGAGTCACGCACCAGTGTCCAAGATATTTCAAAAAAAAAATTTGTTATTTTTTCTTATGAAATCGTAGAGAAATTTTTTGTGAAGGTAATAAAACAAAAAGTTACGGAAAATGGTGGAAAATTGACGAAATTATGCTCTCGCGAATTTGATGTGTCAGCGATAATTTACGAATCGGCGATTTTGCCGACTTTGACTCCCATTTTAGGCCAATTACATTATTCCAATCAACCAAATTCTTAGCTATTTCACTAGTATTACTTCTATTCTATCGATTGAGCACAAGAAATCGCCAAGTCAAACTGTTTCAACTACAAAATAAAGTGATCGGAAATTGTTAATTTGGCCAATTTAACACAGTTCAAAATATTCCAATTTCAAAATAGGGTACAGAATGAACAATGTAGGCATTCCTGGCACTAAACTAACATTCCTCTGTTCATTAGTTATGTTTTGAGGCTTTACAAATAAATTCCATTTTGATTTTTTATTCACATAATGAATTTTTATTCACACCAAAAAATAGGAGATTTACTGTTATGCAATACTGTAATAATTGTATAAATATCATCACCATATTTGTGAATGTATATTAGACCCACCAGCTGACGTATATTAGACGTGTGAGGTCGTTTGTTTTACTCTTGAATATCGGCAAAATTTAACATTTCCGCTACTTTGAGCTCAGTTTCAAGCCATTTTCCAATGCTAAAACCAATCAAAATCATCTCTATTTCTGTAATATGTCTTCCATTCTATCAATTGAGACCAAGAAATCGCAAATACAACTATAAAAAACATACGAAAAAAAACACTGCAAAGTTGCTGTTTTAATCGAAAAATCATGATTTCATTTTTTTTCTCTCATTATGTACAGTGTGCTGCAGGATCTGTTTTATGTGGTGCACACATACCACATAGATGTATTCTCTCATATCTAGGCCCAAATGTACCACTCACAGTTTATCAGAGTGAGCTGAGCTCATGGCGTAGATCTACGGTTTGGACCCTGAACGTAAAGCCGTAGATCTACGGGACGGACCCTGAAAGGGTTAATTGAGCTGTGTGTATAAAGAGGTTTGGTAATAAGTAATACATATTTTATGAAGAAGAGGATAAATAAATATACAAGGTATGATATAGCACGTAATGAAAGTAGTTTTAGATTATGTATTGGTGGATAAAAGGTTGATGGGTAGGCTCCAGGATGTACACATTTATAGAGGGGCAAATGATATATCGGATCATTATTTAATTGTAGCTACAGTTAGAGTAAGAGGTCGATGGGAAAAGAGGAAAATGGCAACATCAAGTAAGAGGGAGGTGAAAGTGTATAAACTAAGGGAGGAGGAAGTTTGGGTGAGATATAAGCAACTCTTGGCATAAAGGTGGACTGGTGCAAGTATGAGTAGTGTGGGGGTTGCAGAGGGTTGGAATAGTTTTAAAAATGCATTAGTAGAATGTAGGAAAGAAGTTTGTGGTTATAGGAGGGTAAGTGCAGGAGGAAAGAGGAGTGATTGGTGGAATGATGAAGTAAAGGGTGTGATAAAAGAGAAAAAGGTAGTTATGAGAGGTTTTTACAAAGCAGAAGTGTTATAAGAAGAGTAGAGTATATGGAGAGTAAAAGAAAGGTGAAGAGAGTAGTGAGAGAGTGCAAAAGGAGAGCAGATGATAGAGCAGGAGAGGCACTGTCAAGAAATTTTAATGAAAATAAGAAAAAAATTTGGAGCGAGTTAAACAAATTAAGAAAGCCTAGGGAATGAATGGATTTGTCAGTTAAAAACAGATTAGGGGAGTTAGTAGATGGGGAGATGGAGGTATTGGGTAGATGGCGAGAATACTTTGAGGAACTTTTAAATGTTGATGAAAGGAAGGCGGTAATTTCATGCACTGGCCAGGGAGGTATACCATCTTTTAGGAGTGAAGAAGAGCAGGATGTGAGTATGGGGGAGGTGCGTGAGGCATTACGTAGAATGAAAGGGGGTAAAGCAGCTGGAACTGACGGGATCATGACAGGAATGTTAAAAGCAAAGGGGATACAGTGTTGGAGTGGTTGGTATTTTTGTTTATTATTATTATTATCACACTGGCCGATTCCCACCAAGGCAGGGTGGCCCGAAAAAGAAAAACTTTCACCATCATTCAGTCAATCACTGTCTTGCCAGAAGGGTGCTTTACACTACAGTTTTTAAACTGCAACATTAACACCCCTCCTTCAGAGTGCAGGCACTGTACTTCCCATCTCCAGGACTCAAGTCCGGCCTGCTGGTTTCCCTGAACCCCTTCATAAATGTTACTTTGCTCACACTCCAACAGCATGTCAAGTATTAAAAACCATTTGTCTCCATTCACTCCTGTCAAACAAGCTCACGCATGCCTGCTGGAAGTCCAAGCCCCTCGCACACAAAACCTCCTTTACCCCCTCCCTCCAACCTTTCCTAGGCCGACCCCTACCCCGCCTTCCTTCCACTACAGACTGATACACTCTTGAAGTCATTCTGTTTCGCTCCATTCTCTCTACATGTCCGAACCACCTCAACAACCCTTCCTCAGCCCTCTGGACAACAGTTTTGGTAATCCCGCACCTCCTCCTAACTTCCAAACTATGAATTCTCTGCATTATATTCACACCACACATTGCTCTCAGACATGACATCTCCACTGCCTCCAGCCTTCTCCTCGCTGCAACATTCATCACCCATGCTTCACACCCATATAAGAGCGTTGGTAAAACTATACTCTCATACATTCCCCTCTTTG